AAGTAATATTTTCAAAGACTCACCAGAATCATATAATTTATTTCTTCCTGGACTGATGTGGGAAAGTGTCAGAAAAACGAGAAGTTTCTCTGTGACTTAAAAAAAGGGGTAGGAAAGAAGATAGGCCTTCCAGCCTTGGTTCATATTATATTTTTTCCCTTAGGCCACTAAGAATGCTGTGTGCATAATCATTTTTTTTATTCAAATTCATCACCCATAATCTTACTTTCTCTGTATATTTTGTTTGTTTAAAGCTTATTTTACAATAATGTATGTTTTTCTCCCTATTGGTTTCCAATACCCATTCACCCCATCACCTGTTGAGCTCTTTTTCCCCATGTAAAAGCCTGTTGACTTTCCAGGCCAGGAAAATTATCTGAAGTGTAGAATTCTGCCCCTTACTATTAAGTGATACAATGAAGATCAAAACAGTAAGTATGTCTGAGCTCAGCATAAAACCTCCAAGTCCCCAAGTCCCCTCAGCATAAAACCTCCAAGCCTGCTATTTATTTTCCCTAATTTTCATCATCTCTATTTCCTGCATCTTTTCCCTTCCAGAATTTCCACTTTCTTTCAATAAGGAAAGGACCATATATTTTTTACTTTTATGTTTTTCCTACCTTAGAATCTTCTCCTTATTCTGGTGCCTTGATGTCTAGAATCATCCTTCCCTCTCTTTTGCCATCACTGGTAACAAACATGTAACAGAAATCGCTCATCCCTTCAGCTCTGATACTATAACTCCAACTTAAAATATATATATATTTTATATATGATTGCTAATGATACTTTTTTTGTTCTTTTAAGCCCACTGCTATAACTCCAACTTAAAATATATATATATTTTTTATATATTTTATGTGAGCCAGAAGAAAAGAGCTTTTCAATTTCTGGTTGTTCCAATTAAATTATTAAAAATCCCACTTCCATTCCTTCATTCTCCAAAATACTTTCTCCAGCATTGTTAGATAAATAAAGATTCCTCAGCCCTTTTACCTGTCTCAAGGCCCAGCAAGTACTTGTGAGCAAACTCACTCCGATTATTCTCAAATGCGTAAGAAAGGCTTGGTTCTTGTCTGGCTCTCTGGAGGTTAGGTCAGAATTACATGCCCATGAAAGACTATAGGTATGAAAGGGGTAGAATTTAAACATTTTCTATTAATATGCATTCTTCTCTAAAACCCTGGAGCAAAGAAGATCCCACTATTGCTCTAATCCTGGGAAAAGATTCCATATGTTGACTTTTGGGAAAAGAGGTATTTTGAGTGTTTTAAATGTTAAAAACAATAATAACAACAGCAAAACACCATTTGTTTTGATCTTTTGATTTTGAGTTTTGTTTTATTAAATTTAAACCTCCTTTAGCTTTATCATTGTTTTACACTCAGATTGTTTTCAATACCCTGTTTCACACCCTGATATCAGAGGTCTGGCATATGTATGTGAAAGGAGGTCTTCTAAGGAAAGTTTGGACATGTCTTTTGCAGGAACTCTGTGTCATGGAAAATTCACAGGACTTACTAAATAATAGCATAGAATATGTTTGTATTTTCCTGTAAAGAGCCACATTGGTAAGGCTGTAGCTTTGCCACCTTGATCAATAGAAATTAGTTCCTACTTAAAGACTTCCTCTACCATTTCCTGTTCTCAGAAAAGGTTCCCCTAAGTTCTTCTATTGTGTCTTCTTCCTTAAGCCTTCTTTGGCCATGAATGACCTATGGCCACTCTTTTATACTGGCAGTAGTCACAGCTACCCTCATTCTGGTTTCAGGACAGAAGTCGCTACGCTGCTGCTTAGTATAACTGAAGAGTGAAACAGACTTTTCCTTCTGTTACTCATAACCCTGCAGGGACAAGGTTGCAAGTTGTAATAAGACATCAAAAGCTCAGACGTACCATACAAAAATAAGAAAGAATGAATAGTGATGAAAGTGGTTATGTTCAGAGCCTCGGGCTCAAATCCAGGTCAGCATTCAAAGGTTCTGGAAAGCTGCTTAGGCCTATCTTCACCATTGTGAGCTTACTTCTACCACAGGATGTCTGCTTTACTTTGATTCCAGCCCTACTACTGAGCACTAAACACACACACACACACACACACACACACACACACACACACACACACACAGAGTCTCAATGAGAGAGACAGTTTTCTTCCTTTACTACTAATTCCTAATGTTCTATACCAGAATGGACTTAGTCTGAGTATGAATAAGAGGATAAGTATTACCTTCCTTTAAGAGAATCATGGCACTCACCCAAAGATGTGTGGTTTTGTCATTTGTTTAAAAAGATTACACTCAACTAGAACACTTTCATACATGCCCTAGTGTTCAATTTTAAATTCCCCAAGAAAATCATTTCAGCAATATAAGCTGTATTTTTCTTGGTGGAACAATTATTTTTAATTCTTCTCTCCCAAATGTATAGTCTCTTAGTCTCCTCAGCTTAGCATCTTTTCAAAAATTAAATTAAGTTAATAAAATTAAATAAAATAAAAATATTCTAAAAAGGACAGAACTCATAGAAACAAAGAGCGTAAACACAGGATGGCTTAGGAATCGAGAGTCTAGCTCATTTTTTTAAGCCATATTTCTCTCTATAAAGCAATAAAATCAACATAGCCATAACGTAGATAAAGTCTATTCTAAATGTTACAGAACAATTAACTTTTCTGTTTATAACTTCCACATTACCCCAATACTTCCATCATTGGGAATTAGCTTTGTTTACCTCACTAAGTGGGCCATAATGTTGATTTGTGAAGAGCAAATGGGAAGTCTTTCCCAACTTAAAATTGAAACTGTACATGTATAGAGGCAGAATCTTGGCTTCAGTCTGGGCACTCTTTACAAATATGTAAGGCATTAATTCGTAAGTCCAAACCTCCAGGGCACTGCTCCGAGGCTCAAGAGATGGATGATCTAGAATATTATGCTAAATTCTCTTGACTTTAAATTGAATTATTTTGAAATATTTATAGAACCTAACTCACAGTATTATTTTGTTCCTTTCTTTTTCCATTCTCTTCTCTCCTCCTCTCCGGTCCTCTCTTCTCCCCTTTTCTCTCTTTCTTTTTTTTTCTCTCTCTCTTTCTCTCTCTCTCTCTCCCTCCCTCTGCCTTCTCTTTCTTTACATCTTTCTTTTTCACACACATACCCCATTTTTATTCAAATATATTGAACATAGTCTATATAGCAACATGATAGGGAGGAAAAAGAAATAATCATTGTAAAATTAAAGAATTTATTCTACTCTTAGACTTTGATAGAAGCTCTTCTCTAGCAAAGAATGAAAATATAATAACAACATGCCAAGTCTCTTTCCATCCATCGATATCCTCACTCTTAATGTGCAGACAGCAATGCCTGATATACAGTAACTGTTTGTGCTTGATGGAAGACAATCTGGTGATATTCTCCTGAAGTCTTCGGTATTGGAGTTAGACAGGAATCTCGACAAGAATCTAACTTCTTGTCTAGATTCATTGACCAGTTCCAAAGTTGAAGGAACAAAAGAGAATACAGAGTCTTATATATTTTTGTTTTTATTTATTATCATTTGGAAGAAAGAAGGGTACTTTGTTTCCCCTTTTCCAAACTATGAAACCCAGTTTCTCTTACCCTCTTTAAAATTCTCTGAAAGTCTCTTTTTCTTCAAATATCAATTCTTATCAGAATTTTTCTGTAGTCAGAAGTGTGAAAGTAATCTCCCTAACATTTCCCTGAGGGCTCTCTGCTTCTGGGATATGAGCCTGTGGTTCTTACAGATCCTATTCAAAATAACGAGTTTTCAGTGCCTGCTATGTACAATGACCTGAGAAGAAAACAAATGAATGTAAAAAGCCTCTGCCCTCAGGCAATTCAAAATATAGCAGAGAAACCATAAATTATAATATCGTCTATACACTGGTATAACAGGCAAAGTTATTATAAAAGCACTTTTATACAGAAAAAAGCAACAAGTTCTATTTCAGGTGGTCAAGCCTAAAATTAATTAACAGTAACATGATACATATTTAAAGAAATGCATTTAAGTTAGAAGCTTCTAGAAATTCTTCAAAGATATTTTACTACCTGTGAACAGAAAATAAATGTCTGATTGATGCTTTACTTTTCTATGTGCTTCCTCATTATATATTGTAGCATTAACACTCGAGGAATTCTATGCAATGGTCTAGTGTTCAGATTGTCTTCTGGTCCCAGGATTTCTAAACAAGGAATGATCAATTATCCATTTATTCACTTATTTCATTTAATAAGCATTTGTTTACTTCCTATATAGGAACTTAAGGCATAATAGTCATGTAGAATATTACAAAATAGGCAGAAATTTTATACCCTATGGATTATGAATGCAATGGATAAGAAGAAATTTGAAGGGGGGTCATTTTCGTAGGCAATATTGGAAAGTTCATTGAAGCCAGGATCGAAAAAGTCACAAGTGATATTCAAGCATTAAACTTTGCTTAAAGGGGAAGTGGGGGCAGAAACTAGTTTTGAATCTGCTTTGGGACAAGTGAGAAAGGGAGGTTATTCATTAGAGCAGAAACACATGATGGAGTATATAGCATTGTGGGCTACAATGCGCAGGCAAAGGGAGTAGAAAAAGAGTAAACATAATAGTTTCTTGAACAATCATTATGTCTCTAAATAAGCACATTGTAATTTAACTAATTATAGAAAATGGATCAAAACACTTGCCTGAAGGCTATATCTTAGATTTGAGGTCCCCCGTAGAACCCCTGTAATGGCAGTATTGTCTCCATATTTCAAATTTTCTTGAAAATTCCTATGCTTCGGAGGTAGGTGATCCCCCCCTTTTTTTCTCATTTCCCTTGGTCTCTTTGTATAAGACACAAGAACTCCCTATGTACAGATCCTCAGGGAGTATCTCATATCCCCAGAAAATAAAATGAAATATAAAATAAAATAATAAAATAAAACAAAATAATTAAATTAAATTAAATTAAAATAAAATAAGTGAAATGAATCAAAAAGTTGAGTTGAAAGTTCTTTATTAGGCAGAAGCCATACCCTTGAGGATGGACATTATTTCTCCAAGTTCAGAAGATGAAATCTAGAGGAAAAGAGCCTTCCAATGGTAGCCAGGAAACAGGTCAAGATCTCAATGGTACTTGTGAGCCAGGGCAGTGGCCACACCAGCCACCACCTTCTGATAGGCAGCCTGCACCTGCGGAGTGAATTCCTTGCCAAAGTGGCGAGCCAGCACACACACCAAAACGTTGCCCAGGAGCTGTGGGGAAGAGACAAGAGACATGGTCATGGTGAGCAGCCAGACCTAGCTTAGATTCAGAATATTCTGGCTTCATCCCAAGCTGTGACCTTGAAACTTGAGCAGTTGCCAGGAGCTGCAGGGAAGAGGTAGATAAACATATATACATGATTAACAGAGAAATCAAGCTTGGCTTCTAAGAAAGTGGATCAACATTGTTTTCATTTTTTTTTCTGCTCATACTTGAGCTCAAATTAATTCTCAAGTTATTCCTACCAGCATAAATGAGTATATGTATATATGTACATATAATACAAATGCATATAGATAAATATATACTATATATTTTGTCATATATGTTATATATACTAATTATTGATTAATTAATGAGAATAAGATGATGGGCTGTCTTTCAGCAATTATTGCTGCCCTACTTCCTACTTCTGGTCTTTTTATGCTCAGATATTCACTTTCCTTTTCTTTGAGTCTGGACTCTATAAAGTTCTGATTATTTTTTTTAGTTTTGAAATTATTTATAGCCTCTAGAATAATATCTTGTGCCTCTCCTCTTTGAGGTGCATTTTCAATCCCTATACAGAGAAATTTTCCAAATGCGGAAGTAGTGGATGAGAGCTGATATGTGTAATTTGGGTACAGGGTAGGGAAAAGGAAATTGCGGGGTAAAAGAGAGAGAAAAGATGAGACATTAAATAAACAGTTAGATTTAAAAAGCAAGGTTACGAGAAAGAAAACAATATGAAATATTGAAAGAAAAAACAGAAAACTATACATTTGAAAAGAATTAAATGATGATGTATAGTAAAGTAAAAAGGAACATGTAGGAAGAACATGCAGGTAAAAGAACCAGAGTGAAAACTAGAAAGTGAAAATAAAAAGCAGAACATCTCCTAGACTCACCCTGAAGTTCTCAGGATCCACGTGCAGCTTGTCACAGTGCAGCTCACTCAGCTTAGCAAAGGTGCCCTTGAGGTTATCCAGATGCTGCAGACCCTCACTGAAGGAGTCTAGCACTTTCTTGCCATGGGCCTTCACCTTAGGATTGCCCATAACAGCAGAAGCAGAGGACAGGTCCCCAAAGGAGTCAAAGAACCTCTGGGTCCAGGGGTAGACCACCAGCAGCCTAAGGGGTGAACACAGCACAGAGGACACACGATGTCAGTGGCTGTCAGAAACCCAGGGCACTGCGCTATCTCCACACTCCCAGCTTCCATTTGCTCTCCTTATGTTTGCCTTATAACCTGGATACCAACCTGCCCAGGGCCTCACCACCAACTTCGTCCACCTTCACCTTCCCCCACAGGCCGGTGACGGCAGCCTTCTCCTCACCACTCAGATGCACCATGGTGTTGGTTTGTGTGGTTGCTAGTGAACAGGTTTGTGTCAGAAGCAAACGTAAGCAGCAGCTGGTCCTGCTCTCCCTTTTATGCCTAGTCCTGGCCTTTGCCCTTCTTGTACCTGTGAGCAGATTGGCCCAGGACATTTCAGAAGTTCACTGGTTTGTGAGAAAGTAAGACACACCCTCATTTTCAGTTCCCTTCAACTGGCCTTCAGATCGGCTGTTTTAGGCCTTGTGTACCTTGACTAAGAAACTATTCTCCCTCTATTTATCTCCTTACATCATCTCTTTCAGCACTTACTTCTATAAATGTAGTATCAATCTCATTTATGCATAAATGCTTTAGTCCGATGTGGTGAAATGTATCTTAGAATTTAACTCATCCAATTTTGTAGATAAAAAACTAAATTCTAGAATGCAGAATTTTTATCAAGCAGACTCCATATGGAGCTTCTCTTTGTCTCTAGAGATATTTGTAAGTGGTTGGAATAGATAAATATTTTGCCATCATTTTAACTTGCCTTTTTTCTACCTCTTGAGTAAATACGTCCAGTTACAAAACTCTTTTTCCATTCCTTTGTTGAAATAAATGTTCATTAAAATACTGAAAAATATTATCTCTCTGTGAGCTGCTGAAATAGGTTCAAGAGCATGAATTATAATGGGAACAATTTAATGAAAGATAAAAATACCTGATACCGATAGCATAATTGTTTAAAACGATGAACTGACTAAAGAAAATGTAGAGAAATTGCAAAGAAAGATTTGCCTAATTCAGCTAGATTGTCTGACTGAGTTTCAGGGAAAATTCAAGTGTAGAAATTTTTTCATCTGTGTCCTCAGGAAAAAAAGTGAAGGTAAGACCCAGAAATGAAGATTCAAAGGAAATTTTACTCTTTTCTCAATTTAAATAATACTACAATGATATAAAAATACATACCCATCAGCTTAGCTAGAAGGAAAGAAGGAAGGGAGGGAGGGAGAGAGAAGAGGAGGAGACAGGCAAATGAAGAGGGAGAAAAGGAGAGAAGGAGGGAGAGAGGAAAAATGGATGGAAGAGACTCTCAGAAAGAAAAAGTGGAATGAAAAGGAAAGAGGAGGAAAAAGAATATAAAGAAAATAAGAGGAGAGATTGAGAATTCCAAAATTTGCTAAAGATGTAGATTAACAAAAACTTTTATACTCTGCCAGTGAGAGTGTAAAATTGCTCTGGGAAATATTTGCTAGTATCTACTAAAGCAGATTATATGCAAAACCTATGATCTAGTGATTATACTTTTAGATATACAAAAACGCATGCTTGTGTGTGTCCAAAGTCGTTACTAGGAATGCTTGTAACATCAATACGCATAAGAATCTCAAGCTAGTAGTAACTTAAATGTTCCTCATTTAATGGAATAAATATATAATGGTTAGTAAAATAATAAAATATTACACAGAATTAAAAGAATTCACTACTGCTTCACATCCAGCAATATAGATGAATCATATGACATAATATTATCAGAGAGTGGGTTCCTCTCCTGGCGCGTTGTCCAGGTTCTTGATGTCTCAAACAAAGAATTGAGCAAGACACCGAAATACAGTAGAAAAGAAGTTTTATTAGAAAGGAAAGTACACTTCCAGATGTGGAAGCAGGCCTGAGCAAGAGAGTGTGGCTCAAAAGGCCTGGTAACAAAGACTTCAGGGTTTTATCCCTTTTTTGCTGTGGGTAGTTACTTTTCTTAGAAAAAAAGTGGGCTTCCTTGATTAACAACTAAGACTGACAGGACTCAGTGATTCATCATTTTGCTTTCTGTGCATGTTTGTTCCCAGAATTGTTATAATGATATTAAATAACTTCCGGGCATATGCCTGATATTATAATGATGGTATAATGAGTTGAAGGTCGTTGGGGTCTTCATTGTGCAGGTGTGAATGACTGGCTTAAACTGGTACCTAAATCTCTGCCTACTGGTTTCTTTGTGTGAGTTAAAAAATGCCTTCTTGGCTTGCTTAATTGTGGGCAGATTAGGGCAGACCCCTTCTAAGATAGGATGACCTTAGTGTCTTTGCAGGCAGACCCCAAACCCCCTAAGTTTTCTGCCTACCTCTTTTCTAAAAACCATAAACCACCTTGCTAGCAT